CCAAATTCCCACATCCCCAAATTTCTACGCTCCCAAATTTCTACGTCCCCAAATTCCTACGTCCCCAAATTCCCACATCTCCGAATTTCTACGCTCCCAAATTTCTACGTCCCCAAATTCCTACGTCCCCAAATTCCCACATCTCCGAATTTCTACGCTCCCAAATTTCTACGTCCCCAAATTCCCACATCCCCCAATTCCCACATCCCCCAATTCCCACCTTCCCAAATTTCCACACCCGCAAATTCCCACATCCCAATCCCTGCACCCACAAATATCCAAATCAAACAAACAGCCTCGCAATTCCCGAATCCCCAAATCAACCAAAGTGCTCGAAGGTACTTCACGCAACAAGATCGTTGACAGTTCATCAACAGCGCATTTTCCATATCGTTTCGACCGTCGAAGCGGCAGAGAAAGAGGGGCGAACAGTTATCGCGTCGTTTAGCTTGCAGTAACACGAGACCGTTAGCATATCCAAATTCCTACATCCCCAAATTCCTATGCTCTCAAATTTCTACGCCCCCAAATTCCTACATCCCCAAATGTCTACCCCCAAATCTCAATATACCCGCACCTACATATCCCCGAATCTCTATATTCCCAACTCCATATGTCCAAATTTCCATACGACAAATTTCCATACGTTCAAATCTCAATATCCCCGACTCCACTCCCTACATACTCCGCAAATTCTACACTCTCATATCCTCAAATCCCAGCAGGCTTCTAACACGTTCTGAAATAGTTTTTTCTACAAATAACCGAAGTGAAATATTTATTTGTAACGGTTTCAAAGAAAGAGTTCTAATGCAATTCGTAACGTCAATTAACAGCGGAGTATATAATCGAGCAATTTAGAGTTGGTATCCGTAATTAACCGGTGCGTATGTTGTATACATTAGCCAGCAACGCGTGTTGCATTCGAAGGAGGAACGGTTCTCGCGATTCTCGGTGAAATCGAAGAAAACGGATATCCATTGTGTAACGAAACGCTTTTGTCGTCGATAGGAAATCATCTCGACGGCGATTCACGTCGAGCAGCACGCCTGCTGCATTAACGAGCATCAAGAGAACATCCCGGAAAGGCATTGTGAATTTGATTGATTACGCGAGGATTTCTGTTCTTTCACTTTATCGGAATTCTGTCGGATTTCGAGGGGCGATCAAAAATATCCGCGATATTTTGCTTCCCAAGGAAATTAGAACCAGTCTTAGCTTTTGTCGTTCGTGTTAGAGAAAAAGAATAGAGTTCTACTTATCGATACCCCGTTACATTTGACGATTTTTGTGATGTAATAAGGTCACCTTTCACGTAAAACGTGACTGGTTCTCAAAACACCTGTGTCGAGGAATTTGATACCTTGGAAAAAATACTTGTGACAAGTATCTAAATTCCTAGTACAAATCCTTTAAAAAAGTATAAAAAATGTAATTTCGATCTTGACGTATGTAAACGAGAAAATAATATTCCCCTAAATTATTCATAATTTAATATTTTTTATTATTCATCGACGATATAAATATGAGTCGCTATTTTTCAATGCTGCGCAATTTCGCTTGTGATACATGCATCGATTTACATCAATCGCGATCAACGTCACCACCCAAACGTGTCCTTCCTGCAGTTAATTGCAGCGAACGCATGAAATGGAGTTTGCCTATGCGGCGTTAATCTCGTTCGGAAACGAGTATTTCATTAAAGCGGAGTGTTATATTTTATCGATTGATCATTTTTCACGGACCAGCAATTTCCTTTTCTCATCCTTTTACGCAATCATAAAATGAATGGACATCAATCAAGAGAATTTTCAGGGTGATCTATCATCTATTTTACTATAAAACCGTTTCTTCCATCCGTTAGAGTTCCTCATTAGGGTTACGTGTTCGTGCTCTTCATCAGTGGAGAAACTTAAGAAATAGAAAAAGAAAATTTTAGACATATTATATAGTATAGACATATTTTTGATAAATGGAAGATTGTTTCGATGGCAGAATTCTGCCTCGGGAACGTTGTAACGGTTTAAAACCGTCCACCGTAATCTTTCCTCTCGAATGCTTTGCGAACAGCATCCTTCTTTCACCTCTTGCCGTTGCAATTCAAACCGCTCGAATTATTACCGGACAGCTGCTCTCTGCTCCAGTTTTTCGCCAGGAGCTTTCAATTACGACTTACTTATTATAGATACCTGTCTAGGTGAAGGCATTTACCTAGATGTCCACCTGAATCTAGATACTGCTTTTTCAATACAACTGTTTTGTCACATTTCGTTATTTTGCAAACTCAATTCATTGCATTCTTTTTTATTAAAAATCAGTCTTCTTTATAAAATGTTTCTTTATGAAGTCAAAATTTTTTATAAAATGTTTCTTTATGAAATTAAAATTCTTTATAAAATGTTTCTGTATGAAATCAAAATTCTTTATAAAATATTTCTTATATAATAAATTGTTCGACAGAGAAAGGAAAGTGTGCTTATATCATAGATCATTAGGTATAACGATTACGTGAATTGAATGAAGGAAAGTTGAATGAAAGATATTTGGTTGCTGCATTAATTCATAATTTTCTGACCCGGATAACGTATTTTGACTTTCGTAGATCAAACCGAAAGCGATTGGACGCCTATCACCACTCCAGACGGTTGGATCATGATTCAATTTCCCAGCACGAAGAAACCGGGCGAAACGCAGGCAACCACTGAGAAACCGATTTCGGAATCTACGTTGATAGCATCGACTTCGGGTACGATAAGGATTGTTACAATTACAAGATTAAGGACCGTTCTGACGATCTCGCGTTGCAATGTCGAAAGGTTTAAGATCTGCAATCTGCATTTCACATTCAGCAGAAATGAATAATGTAAAAATAATAGATAACGCGATACCAAGGTTTAATTAGTAACTTCGATCAAGTGATGCGTTACGTAAAAAAGGATTATTAGCATGTCTCCTTTTGTTGAATAAAATTAAATGTCTTCTTTTGTTGAATAAAATTAAATGTCAATTAAATGTCTCCTTTTGTTGAATAAAATTCGGTTAGCATATTAATGAACAACGCGCGGTATTTTTAGCGAAACCAACAACGGAGGTAACCACGGCGCAGCATGTGGCGACAACCCTGTCTTCGATCGCCAGCGTGACGATAGACGCGGAACTTCCGGTACCAATGGAAACCCTGAACATGTCAGACTACAAACAAGGTGAGTTCTAAAAAGTCTCGATAACTGCGTAATCAAATATATGTTGATCATGATTAAAATAACCTTGTAATCTATGAATTCACAAGATCAAGATTTGCTTCAAATTCCATTGACTAAATCAACAACAATAAATTTTAAATTAATACGTAACGGAGTATTATCTAATCTAGCTAAGACGCATTGTATTAATTGCGCAAAAAAAAAACAATCAGTCAGCATGTGATAGGAAACGAATTTATTTATTTGATCCACCGTGCATCGGTCATCGCATGTCATTGAGAATGAGGAAAAGGAAAGTGATAAAAAAAGAGAGAAGAAAAAACCTGTTCGTAATGGGCGCGCTTGACAGCGCGAATTGATTCATTCATGACGAATGCAAAGTTCTCCAACATGGCTGTTTCGATGAGACTCATGAATTTGATAAAGGGACTAAATTCGACGATGCTTCTTCTTGCAGTGTGCGGGAGAAGACTGTTTCCGGAGCCTCGTATAGTCGGTGGCAATCGTAGCTCCTTCGGAAAATGGCCTTGGCAAGTAAGTACAATTTCAAGCGTGTTTAAAAAAAATCAACCATACTTCACCTCTCGAAGATCATATGTTACATATGTATGATCTTCAAGATTACGCTCGTTCGTTGCGTATCTGCGTTCACTTCTATCGGAATTGAAAAATCGATTCAATCTTCCTTCACTAGTTACACGATGTTTGAAGAGTGCACACACGTGTATCTTAATCCTTGGATTTCCGAGGACGTATCAAGGCGTGTCATCATTGGTACACAGCGTTGCTCCTCGTTAAACGAGATCAATATTTGATTTTTTAGATCTCATTACGACAATGGAGAACGTCGACGTATTTGCACAAATGTGGAGCGGCTTTGCTGAACGAGAATTGGGCCATAACTGCAGCGCACTGTGTCGAGAAGTACGTACTGTTTCTTGAGGACGATTATGACGCATTAAAGTTTAAGAGATATTTTAGGATTTGAAAATTTACGCATTTATGATTTAATGCTTTGGAGATTTAGGGGTTTAGGGGTTTGGAAAAGTGGGGATAGGGGCTTTGACAATTGGGGATTTAGACATTCAGGAAATTGGGGATTTAGGGATTTAGAGAATTGGAGGTTTGGGGATTTGTCTTTTCGAAATTTCAGATTATGGAAATATGAGAATTAAGGATTATCTGTTATCGAAATCTAAGAGATACTTTGAAATTCACGGATTTCAGGATTTCATCAATTTAGGAATTTAAGGATTTATAACATAATGGATTTGAGTATTTAAGAACACAAAAATTTAGAAAATTGATCTTTTAGAAATTTGAAAATTCAGAAATATAAAAAGCTTGAAATATTAGAGCTCTCCACATCCCTACTTTCAGACACAGACATCTCCCCGAGAGATAAATAATATCTTTTATCTTACAGCGTACCACCCAGTGATTTACTGCTGAGAATCGGCGAGCACGATCTCGCGAACGAAGACGAGCCATACGGTTTCCAAGAGAGAAGAGTCCAAATCGTAGCGAGTCATCCACAATTCGATCCTCGTACATTCGAATTCGATCTCGCCCTCTTAAGATTCTACGAACCTTTGTTACCCTTCCAACCGAACGTTCTACCAATTTGTCTGCCTGACGACGACGAAACATACGTTGGTCGTACTGCTTATGTCACTGGTTGGGGACGACTTTACGATGGTACTACTACTACTGCTTTACTCAGAATGGTTCTTACAGCTTTCAAGTATTGTACTGACTGCGATTGTATTTCCAGAGGGACCGCTGCCATCTACTCTTCAGGAAGTGGCGGTGCCGGTCATCAACAACACCATGTGCGAGTCCATGTACAGAAACGCGGGTTACATAGAACACATTCCTCATATTTTTATTTGTGCTGGGTGGAAAAATGGAGGATCCGATTCGTGTGAGGTATAGGACTTGATTATATGAGTTTCGGTGATTCCAAACAATTAGGTATATCTTGAACATTTGAGTGTTCAAATGCTCTAAGAGGAATTAAATAATAGTCCTAGAAAATTGGAGTTAAATATTAAAATAAATTAAAAGAATTTTTCTCTTGTAAATATATTAAAGAAGCGATATGTTGACAGGGTGACAGTGGAGGACCAATGGTGATCCAAAGGGCACGCGACAAGCGATGGATCCTAGCCGGAGTAATTAGCTGGGGAATCGGGTGTGCGGTTCCCAATCAACCAGGTGTTTACACCCGCATCTCCGAGTTCCGTGAATGGATCAACCAGATTCTCCAGTTCTAAGTTCGACGTAATTTAGAATGAACGCTTACCAAACTCGTTGGAGTCAACGAATCTCACACGTGTATATACAAAGCATTCTGTACAAAATCACAAACAACGTAACTTTCTCCGTGAAGAGATTTGCGTGCTCGTTGAAGATGGAATATTGTTTTCGCGAAAACTCGATCAGATATGATATCTACAAAGTTCGCGAATGTAGAATGTACTCGTGCATGAATCAACGGGCTAATCGTGTACAGAATTTACATTCCACGTGGCTTAGAAAATAGCACATCTTCGAACGAGACCGCCATTGCATCGTTCGACCGTGCAATGCCATCTTTGGTTACTATCTCGCATCGAGGCTATGGAAATCGACAAACCAGTGTTCTACGATGCCAGCAGTGTTTCCTTCGTGAACGTTCGACGATAAATGACATGCAGTGAGTTGAACACTCGACGAAGGTGATCGACGAAGGATAATAGATACGCGAATGCGAGCTGTGAACGAGAGTTTATATTTGTATGATAATTTATGGATGCAGCACCAGATACGCGTTTCTTTACGATGTGCAATACTCGTGAAACCATGTTGCTCATATTATATTAATATATTAACGCGTTACGTTATTCTGAACGATTTGTGAACGGGCTAGAACAAAATAAGAATTGGTCCGACAAACTTACAAATCCCAAATTCCAAAATTTCTCAATTTTCCAATTCTCAAATTTTTGAGACAAACAAGCTTGCAATTTAAAAATTTTTACAATTACTTTCGAACTCCTAAAACTTTCAAACCCCCAAATTATAGTGTCCCACAATCGTACAAAGTTTGCAGATAATTCTTGTTTTGAAATTCATCCCCCATCTTGTTAACGAAACGTCAGACAATACCGGTGCTGATTGCGTTAATCTTCTAAGGACTCGAGAATATCGGTTGATAGTTACTCTGATCGATTCGATCTCGAGTAAGATCGACGATAACAGATAAGGGTATGTTCATCTATTTTATTACACACGATCGAGCATTGTGATACAAGCGTTGCGTGTAAAAGATAACGCGGATTGTGTGTGAGAAAATGAAAAGCGAATGAACGTCTCTTACACGAACAAAATCACCTGATATTTAATTTAATTTATATAGAAATTCAAATATATTATATATATACATATGCATACCGACGTGTATACATAGACATTGTACGCAAATAAAAATCGTGTTAGGTTGTTACATGTCAGATGATCGACACGTGGGGCTCTTACATTCGATCACATAAGAGTAAGATAAAATCATACTTATAGTTTGGAAATTGGCGATAGAATCTTTGTAACAATATAAAAGTCCTTGGTTATAATAAGTGATAACCATCTTCTAATCATATAGAATATACTGTATTATAATCTAACAAGGTTTGAGTGTCATAAAAAATACTTATGTCATATCTGAAGCTTAAGATCACATAAAACAGCAAATCGTCTCAGACATCGGTTAACAAAATTTTCAGCTCCAAATCATTTAAAACAAATCGTATGTTTCCTAATCGATCATTTGACGTGCACCGATCTAACGCAAGAATAATTTATTTAACGTTGCAGTTGGGGCTGCAAGACGGAACCTCAAGCTTGTAAATATTCGATCGATTGGTGGTGCGTGTTGTATTCTATTATACTCTGTTATTTTTTACCGTTTCGTTACCCTTCACATTTGCCCCTCGGCGTCTCTGTATTTATCAGTCGTGCATTAAAAGAAAGAAAAAAAGAGAGAACACAACGTGTCCCTTACCCAGATGGAGTTCATTGATTACCCGATCGTTCAAGTGCAATCCCTCTATCCAATATCGTTCTCCTTTCGCGTGGGTGTCGATATTTGCACACAACAACGGTTTGTACTTCGCCCACTCGAGCGTTGGTGGATCGTGAAATTCGAAAATAATGCACCTTCTTCGGCGACGCATCCAACAGGTGGCGTGGTACGTTTCAAACGGGAGGCAAATTACGGAGAAAAAAATCCTTTATTTGCATGATTAAGTATTACATACCGGTTGCATTTTTTTAAGATTGCTCACAGAGGCGGAACAATTTCTACAACTTTCTACTCACACTTCGTGAAATTTGTGGACTGTTTTCGCGTGTTATCGTCGCCGTTCGATTTGCATACTCGTCCCAATTTCAAAGAATGAGATGTAAGTGTATCAGAGATCGTTTGTGGGACACGAGAAAAATTTTACATAAAAATTTAGAGCCTTGATAAAATTTAACCCAGATTAATGTCGAGGGAAGTCGAATTTCGAAGTTTTTGAAAATGATGCTGCCATCTGACGCTATCAGTGATCTATTGTTAACTAGAATTCAAGCAGATACGAGATTATTGCTGGTGACGTTTCTGCTTAATAAAGACATTCTGTACGTGACATTTTAATCTCAAGTTCGATAGTAACTGGGATCGTAAAACCCGTTTCATGTTTCTGTTTCATTGATAACAAAAGATCATGGGTTTAATGTCGCAGGTTGAAGTACGTTCTACAAAGTAATAAACTACCATTTTAACGAAAACCATTTGTTATCTAAATTGTAAGATTATGAAAGATTATTCTTCCAAATAAAAGCTTACTCGAATTAAAATTTATCTGTCGAATTTCAGAAATACAAAACTAGACACAATTATCAATTTAACTTACGATAAAAAAATTCGGAAACTGTTTAGAATTATCCTGCTTCATAAAAGAGCTTAAAATATTTCAGAGGATTAAATCTTTTATTGTCCCTCCGACACACAGCAGAAGCTATAAACGCCGCGAAATCAATTCCTGTCTGATTCATCCATGGTTACAAAATAATCGGGTCGATGTTTCTGTTTTTATCATCGTCCATGTGGTAGTGAAATTATACCCGTCTATAAGTACTCGAAGAAAAAACAGTAGTGGATGATTGACGCTCGTTTTCTCACCAAAAGATGGCCTAGAAAGTAACGCGGTTTTTAGACTTCGTTCAATGGAGCAGCAAGAGACCGTCGCGCCCAATTGTGCCGCGATATTGAGAATCTAACTCTCTCTCCTTTCACGTAATTCCATTGCTATTCCAATTTTTGACTCGTTAACATCCGATACAAACTATGGCGTTTCTTATGGCAGTTAGTTTCTTGATAGAAACTAGAAATTGGTAGATCTATTAGATTGCAAAGACGTTCGATAAGTTATACAAAATGGCACTTGTAACGAAAGTGATGATATGAACGCTCCATTAATATTTCTTCGCACAAAATAGTTCCGTTATCGCAAATAATTTCGAAGCATGTAAAGTCTGACATAATCCGATAACACGAAAAACGGTATCAGTTTGAAGCTTAAGTGTTTCGTCAATACCGTTAATGTAAAACGGACAGTTCTTAATTAAGAATGGATCGATCTATGATCCACTGTTCGCTTCCGTTACAAACTGGTTAGGTTTACAAAAATAATTTCCAACATGCAAGGAGTGAATGGTATCAACCATAAAAATAATTTTATCATGGAATGGCTAATGTCATTGTTCTTTCATGTATTCTCCGGTGGTTGCACAGCTAACGACACTTTGGGCGATTTAGAGCGCCCGTAAAAGCGAGTGCACTTCAAACGTTTGCATCACCGTGACTTCAGAGCACTCGTCTGGAGTGTAAAAAAGAAACGAAAAAAGTCGAGGCCTATTTCCGAGACGGTTTCATAAATGACAGCTGTCGAAACTTGTAATTCGAAAATTAATTCCGATCGACGTAGGATAAACGTTACCGTGCCTCGGTCGTTTCCGGTCACGGCCAATTCCGCGTTATTCCATATACGCGGCGTACCGTTGTCCACGACGAAGCAATTTATTTTAACTTCACGGAAAAGTTAGCAATTTGAAAGGTGCAACCTCTAATTGGAACGGTAATAGAATGTAACTGTTACAAACCGCACGAGATACGAGTCGGTGTCGAGAGAAATAATTCTCGTTCGCGAATCATTTCCTCGCCAAGTTTTATGCGTCCTCTGGACAGCTGGATCGTAAAATTACGCGTTCGGGTCGGTGGTTTGCATTCCGCGGGGCACGAGCGAAAACGCGCGGCAGAGGTGTGTAATCGAGAGAAAAGATGGCCATCGAAAATGTCACAGGCGTGACTCCATGGATGGATGTTACTGGACCGGGTTAAGTGGCTTTGGAGAAAGCCAGCTTACCTCCGCCTTTTCCTTATGAAGTCACGAAACCAACGAGATAGTAAGCCATTGACGGCCTTCAACTGTCAGACGTGTCACGAACGATGCGAATCCTTGCCCGGCCACACTCAATTTCCATCATTTTCTAACCAATAATTAATGGCACTCAGGAAGTTACAGCTACTCGATTAGAAAGTATCGGGCTTCACGTGCTTCTTTTTGATAATGACTCAATCGGGTGTTAATGAATGCGGATTGAAGGTATTTGACCGAAGAGGATTAGCATTTTACCTCTTTCGACAAAGTTAAGCATGGTACTCCTTCAGGGGCAGTAACTTTTTTTAACAGCAACATGGCAGAAAAAGGATTCGTCACTTTTAAGTTAGGAAATTTTTTAATGTACACATGTTGAAATTTTCAAATTTAGTCACAATAAAATTTTCATATTTTTAAGTTTAAAAATATAGAGTTTATATGAAATATGAATTTTAAAAATAGTAATGTTTAAGAAACGTAATTTCGCTCCGGAAAGTAGTTTCAGTACGGTATTGTTTGATAAAGCGAGATAAGTGGGTGTAGGCCACAGTGGTGATTTAGAGCTTAGGTTGCGGGAGAGTGCGTCACAAGGATGTGATCCTTCGTAGAGGGAGCAAGGCGTCGAGGACGAGTTGCGTCGGCGCTACACCCTGATCGATGAGCAAATTTTGTTCGAATTGCCAGCAAACTACTCGAGCAGGGTCATGGTCTAACCTTGATAATCCAAAATGACGTCGAGAAGATCCTGCTGACTGTTAGGTACTTCAACTCGTACATCAAGATGGACATTCTCTCATCGACCTTATCGATGACCAACATATTCTGCCGCTACAAGTTTCTTCTTCGTACCAATTAACATCGTAGATAACAACAGTTTATGAGAGTGATTATCCACAACTTTCATTCACGTTCGTTTACTTTATTTTTCACGAGTTAACCTGTTACCTGAGCAATGACAATCTAGACAGAGGCAACAATTTAATACTAGATTAAAGAAGCTAAAAACTTGTGTCAATAGCACCTGAAGATATAATTGAAAATTTAGCACAAACTCTAAATGACGAATCAATAAAGATTAAGGTTTTTTATGTGGGCGCCAATGAAAGGTTCTGTAAAAAGATTAGACCAAAAAAAAAAGTGAAACGTGAATCTTTGTTTAAAGAAACGATCAAAATAACAGAAGAGAAAGGTCTCAGATATTCGCGACATTCGCGGACTCTTACGAACAACGGTAAAGAAAAATAATGCGTAGAACGTGAAAAGACGCGACTAAATTCTGACCCAGTTTTGCGAAGCGTGTCCTGGGTCATGACCATCGATTGTTTCTCCTCGTTCCTTCTCGCGGGTGCCTTCCCATGGATATGGGGTCATGACCCAAATGTCTCAAGGCTCTGTTCCTGGAATACCTCTCCAATGATCCATAAAAAATTGTCCTCTTAAAATTTTCCGTTTCATTAGACGGTTTGTCAGATCTAACGTCGCGCTAGAGTTTTAATATTCAAGGATCTTTGTTATCTGTCCCTGGACACAGAGTTCGGAGATGAATTTAGTCGATGTGGAGAACTTTTGCTATTTGAAACTTGTGGGGAAAATTAACGTTCTGTGGTAATTTGAGGAAGGTGGAAGGTGGAGGATGGTAATTTGGGGGTTTGAGGATTTGGGGATTTGGGGGTTAGGAATTTTGGAATTTGGGAGATGAGAGTTGGGGGGTTTGGGAATTTGGGAAGTGAGGAATTTGGGAGCTTGAGAATTTGAGGACTGAGAGATTTGGGAGCTTGAGAATTTGGGAAGTGAGGAATTTGGGAGCTTGAGAATTTGGGGAGTGAGGGATTTGGAAGCTTAAGAATTTGGAAATTGTGGAATTTGGGAAATGAGGGATTTGGGAGCTTGAGAATTTGGAAATGTGGGAATTTGAGAGCTTGAGAATTTGGGGAGTGAGGGATTTGAGAGCTTGAGAATTTGGAAATTTGGGAATTTGGAAGCTTAGGAATTTGGAAGCTTGGGAATTTGGAAGCTTGAGAATATGGAAGTTTGGGAATTTAGAAGCTTGGGAATTTGGAAGCTTGGGAATTTGGAAGCTTGGGAATTTGGAAGTTTGGGAATTTAGAAGCTTGGGAATTTGGAAGCTTGGGAATTTGGAAGCTTGGAAATTTGTAAACTTGAGAATGTGGAAGCTTGAGAATTGGGAAATTAGGGATCCTTGAATTCGAAACCTTGAGAGTGTGGAATTAAGGAAGTGAACCCCCGAAAATTCGTGGAAATAGAAGCCCAATATATTAGCTAAGTGTTCATTGCCCCCGAACATACATTTTTACGTAACAATTCCGTTTCTTTCACCACTCGTAATTTCATGAGATAACTCGTAAACGATCGTTGCACCCAGAAATCAATTACCATAATGATAATGTTAATAAGGAGAAACTCGATAAACATTACAGGGTAACGTTCCTCGCAGATTCACCAAGGTGTAAAATCCATTTTAAAACGCGGACGAGTTCTAACCTACTTACCGAAAGTCACGATCACGGTCAACGTTTGTATATACACACGTTCTTACGAGATGCGTCACGTGCCTGA